TGTCTTTACTGAAGATAAGCTTATATGTCATCATTTGAAGAGACAGGTGATAACTTTTCAGTAACAAGTGTGGAATCTTTTCAATATTTCCATCATTCAAAACTATGAAGAATGACTATACCTGGATCCATTAATAATATCTTCACATTCATCATGAAATCATACATACCAAGAAATGATGATGGATAATGTTAATGCTTGATCCCTCTACCATTTACATATCATTTCACGTATTTATGTATTAGTCCATCAACTAAAAAGGTTGGCTACCATCGAACCACAAAAGTTGGCAGAGATCCTGTCAGTCATTCCTGTAGAATTCTGAAGGAATTCCTCTTTATTTAATAAACAAAGAGTATTTGACCAACTTTGTTTTTGCACTTGGTAAAAGGTCTTTTGTCGACTTCTACTATTTTGTTAGGTCTTTCAATTTTACTGGAATCTTTATTTAAAACACTATAAGTAATAACTTTCCCCAGATTACTGTTCCAATTTATTTACTGATGACTGTCACCCATAGCCAGCTGTTCTTTTCTCCATTCAACAGATGTTAATTATTTCAATCAGCTGTAAATGAACTAAATTCCAGTCACAAATGCAGTTCTGCAACCCTTGAACCATGTTGCTTTACAAATGGATATTCTGTTGTCACAATTTTCACACTGCATCGCCATTATTTCTGTTTTGAAAAAGTTCTACTTTAGAGTGTGAATGCATTTTTCTAGGAAGACAAATCTGAGCTCCAATGCTTCTGGTCAATAAGCAGCTATGTTGCTACTTAGTAAGATACATTAAATAAGACTAAAATTAAATGAACATGCTAGCAAGTTAAATCAAACAATACCTTCACTTTCCTTGGATTCATTTAATGGATAGGTCTCATCATCATTAGAAAAAATTTCAGATTTACAACACTTTGAAAAGCTCTACTTCGTGATTTTGTGATGCAGTATTACACCTATTCTAGGTATTATTATTTTTATTTCCAATGACAACTGGGCATTTTTATTTCCAACAAAATAACTTACAAAATTAGAGATAATAGAACAATAGATTCTAATTATTATAATAATTAATAAGTGTATACATTTCCTTACATTTCTCTAGATCACTTTTCTCATCATGGAATATTTTTAGCTCTAAATATAAAGAATACTAAGGTAAATTTGGGAGTTAAATTTAATAAGGAAACATAGAGATATTAAATAAACAAATAATGTTTGCTTAAACTTCTATATACATTACAAATTCAATCATAACTATATATTCAACTGAAAGGTTCAGATTTTAAGAGTTGCCCAAAAGGCTCTTTAAAATTTAATGGTTTTTAAAAAATTATCATTAGCCATGAATAGGATACATTTCACTTTTATTTAAATCAACCAGTGTGAAAAATTAACAAAAAAAAAAAAAAAAAAAAAAAAAAATCCAAAAAAAACCACATTTGTCCCTTTTAAATAGCTCTTAAATAAGATGACTTGGTGAATGAAAGTTGCAAAGTTGGCAATGGTTCTCTGCATTATAACTTGAAGAGCCTTTACTGCATAGTTAGAAAAATGACACTCGAAGACAGACTTGTAATAGAAACAAATGTTGATCAATAAAGAATAGGAGACTGGCAGCAGAGGCACATTAAAATCTTCATTTTATTTTCAGTAAACATAGTGCACCCACAAACAACTTGACACATTATTTTTGCCCATTTCCATTAATTTCTTTGCAGCAACTTTGATAACTTTGCAGCAAGAAGAAAGTAGCAGACAGCATTTGAGCTAGGCCGAAGAGTAGCAAGCATGTGTGTTATATTCAGGGTGAATTCAGACCAAGTTAGTTTTGGTTCTCAATGCATTTTGAGAGGATAATTAGTACTGCTGTAAAATTATTATTGGCTGTTTGAGTTTTAGTTCCATTTACATCATCAGAATTATGCAGGAGTCATATGACATGGATTAACCTTAATCCATTACTATTTTTACAATAAAGAGAGGAAATTAATTTACTTTGCTAATTTAAATTATAATTTATCTTTTATGTATTTTTTTATTTATTTATTTTTCTTACATATATATAGGGTCTAGGACTTTTTGCTGTCGGCATTTCACTGTCAAGACATATTCTTCTTTACATGACTGTATTTTTTCTTGCTGTACACGCATTTTAAATTTATTTAGTATAATAATTCCGGGCTCTACTCTTATATCGCCCTAAGATCACCAAATGTGGCGATATGTGTTCTGCGCTGGTTTTTGGTGCGATTGCGTGTTGTATGGCAACCCTGTTGACGTTGAAAACTCTTTTCCTGGAGTGGTTTAATTGCTTGATGGTTCGTGTCGTGTGTGTTTTGAAATGGCCTATGTTGCTACGAGAGACGTGGTTGCAAGAGGGCGGAGATTATTTTTAGTGGCTGTGCATGATAGAAGTAACGAAACGCTGATGCAATGTATTAAAGAGTGGACTAAGCCTTGTACAACTATATTTGGATAGCTGGAAATCTTACAAGGATTTATGAAAAGAAGGTTTTGAACATTTATTTGTGAACCATAGTATGAATTTTGTGGATAGCAAGTCTGGCTGTCATATAAATACCATAGAGAGTACGTGGGGACATGTTAAAACTACGTTCTGCTGTCCCTAAACATCTATTATGGTAAGTGCATTTTATTTTTTTGTTTTTATTTATTTAATTATTGTTGTTATATAATTTATTAAAGCGAAGTGTACATAGTTTGTAGATTTGTTTGTTGCCTAGATTGTGCAATTTGTAGATTTTTTTTAAGTTAAAAAATATCGCTGTGTACATGGATTCTTGTCAGATATTTTTGGTTAGAAACTGTTTTTGCTATCTAAATTTTTTTTTTTGTTTCGGATTTAGCTTATTTTGCTTAAATCGTGTTTTTTGTTCATAACGTGGTTTTTGGAGACATTTTAGGCTTAAAGTTTGAAATGTACACAAAAAATTTAGATAGTAATATGGCACCGTGGATTTTCTCACCAAACAGTTTTGGTGAGAAATTTGGCGACCTGCGGGCGCATATAAGAGTAGTTCCGAATTCCATTTACCTTTAGTATACTTAATAAAGGTTGCTTTTAATATACATAGTTCAAGTATGAGGTATAAAGAAATGAAACATAGAAAATTATATCAATATCAAAGAGAACTGGGGTTAAACTTCTGATATAACAGAAGTTATATTATCAATTTTAAAAGTATGTGGTTATAATACTTACATGAGTTGTCAAAATATTTTTAAATTTTAATTGGCTAGTTCAGAGAAATCACTCATGCAAACAGAAAATTCACATTTTTATGAAATCTGAATGGAAAACGGAATGACTTTGGAATCTTGTCAGCACCTTACTCTCTTAAAATTAATATGTCATGTGTAACGGTGTATTTGTATGAAACTGTACACAAAATCTGTAAAATGTTTATCAAATTAAATTAAACAGTTTATAGTTTTCCTTACTGTCTATGCAAAATCTTTCAAATTTGAATAGTTCCTTTTAAAATCTTCCTTAAAATTCTTTCTATATTTCTCTTTTGCACTCCGGTTAAGCGTACATTCATTGATGAAGTGCCTGGTGCCCTAAACTTATCACATATTAAGCATTTAACCATAAGTGAGCATTTAACTAAACATAGTTATTAATTTAAATCAATTTAATATAATACGGCAAGATATAATACAGTCATATAAAGAAAAATATGTCTTGACGGCGAAGTGACCATGTCGAATAGTCCCATTCCCCATATATATACAGTCAAAAGTCGTTAATTCGGACACCCATAATTCGGAATGATCTATATCCGGACATAAAAAAACTTTCTGCCATGCGCCGTTGACACATCGCAGAGGCGTTCACGCGTGCGCGTAAGACCTTTTACGACTGCGCATATGATGTGCGCAAGTGCAGAATACTTTTTGCATGCGCATTTTATGTATAATGGACGTATAAGCTAAAATTATCTATTATCTATTTCAGTTAATGTTATGAGTGCGTTGTTCCTTAATTTTCGAATTGCTCCGGCTTATTATTTTTTGCAGACTGTAAGAGCAATTTTTATAAATAAGCTTACTTCGATTATATCAAATAGAATTTCCGATATCTATTTTTGTTAATAGTAAAGGATCTAAAGCGAAAGTGTGTTTTGAAATCCGAAATCTGTTTATCAATTTCACGCTGCTCGGCGCGGGCGCGTATGAATTGGAAGTTGATTTGTCAGCACTATCCTATCTTCAGCGCAATTTTTTATTTATTTGGCTTATAATTCCTTACATGTAGTTTTCATCTCGATATGCTCCGTCTTTGATGATAATTAACAAGTTCCTCTTCATTATAATTCGCTTCCGATAGCGAAGAAGTGACAGAGTTATTGAAAACAAAAATTTCGATTGACAATTAGTCAGTGTTCTTGACACAGCAATTATAGGACTTGAACGACGGAACTTTGTAACTGAACAGAATTATGTCTTTTAAATAGAAGTAAAGAGAAAGTATTATCACATAAACGAAGCAAAACTTAAACAACTTACATTGAAAGAAATGTTAATAAAGTCAAAAATATTAAGCTTTTTCTTTTTGCAAATTTTGATACCCTTTAGATCATAATTGTTCTTTATTTCATAAATTATGGTTTCATATTTTTAATTTTAGAATTTCTTGGCTTCTTTCTTATACTTCAGAGTTAGCTGCAATCCCAAGATTGGGATCAACATGTAAAGAACAGAAAGTGTGTGTAGAGCAGCAAAATAGCAATAAACAGTTACATGTTACATTATCATGCATTTGCTTACACACCTGAATTCATACACAGGCAGGGGCAAGCTGCAAAGAATAACACTTTATTTGATGCAATTTTAAATGTGACTCCCAGTTAGTACCCGACAGAAATAAAAAAGTTTTATTGCTAAAGGACGCGAAGAGATCTCAGTATAATGGCAGGTATCAAATAACCAAGTAGTACTGCTGTAAGTCTAAAAATATATATAAAAGTTTACCAATATCTCTCTCTGCAATAATTATTTGGTGCAAGTTCTGCTTAGAAACTTCACATATATAAGCCATCAATTCAGTGGCATCCACTTTTTGAAGGCCCCACTTGTTAGCCAACTCAGAGTAGCTAGGGAAAAAAAAATGAATTAAGTGAATTTCATAGACTGGTGACTCAATTATTTACGAAAAAAATTACAGATTCTAATTTAATTTTAATGAAAGGCATTTCAAATACTCAAGTATTTGCATAACTCAATCCCTCAAGAAGGCAAAATTATCTTTTCCAATTGCTCACTAATACCACTTTTTATTGCTTTAATTCTCTTTATTTTAGCACACATGAAGATTAGAAAGACCTCTTTGTTTAATCTACAAATGCACAAATAGAAAATGAGAAATTCAATAAAACTGATATTATCAAAGCTACCAACCTTAAAATATGAAAGACTGAAAAGTTTTTAAAACTGTGCAAAATAACTTGAAAAGGACAACACAATGACAAATTTGACTCAATGCATCATTCGGAGCTAGTTATAATAAGATTCTGAATTAAAATATATTCCCTTAATTAAAATTTTATTCATCATTTTAAATTTAAATTTCATTTCGTTTCAGGATAATTTTGTTTGATCTTACACCTTAAAATTTATGATGAAAATTCAAGAATGAAAGAAAATTTTTATTTACCAACTTGTTTTTAAAAACAATAAAAAATAAAAGTAATAATCAATATGCATATAACAGACTGGATAAATTTAGAAATATACCCATATACAGATTTAAAGCAAAATAAAATCCGACTGGAAGAACATACCAATATAAAAATTAAAATTAAGACAAAAAAAAAAAAAAAAAAAACATTAAATTAGCAAACATTTTATATAAAACTCTATCAGTTCCAAAGGCAAAAAGCCACAGGTCCTTCTTCACAGAAAACAAAAATTTGCTTGGTACTTTTTGGTTATCCTCATCCCCACATTTAAGTTGTGACCTTGTTGGTGACTTTGGAGAGCATTCACAAACTCGCTGGTGATAACTGGAGAGAAACACTTATCTGTGTGCTTTTGCTTCTATTTCAATGGTGCATCCAGCACTGCTAATTTTTTACATTCTTTTCCCATACAAGACATGCACACTTTTTGAAATTTTGCAGTGTTGTTCTATAAATAACATAGCTATCTATACTTGCTAAAGAAAAACCAGAGAACTGCATGAACTTGGAACCAAAATGCTAAAATGAAAGGGGAAAAAACAGATGTATGTTGCTTTTGCGCGCACTGCATTATGCTCTAAAGACACTGTTTCTTCAACTGTGTTCGCAGAACCCCGGGATTCTATGAAGATCACTCAAAGGTTCCATGAAATGAAACACCCACTAAACTAAAAAATAGATTCTCAACCAAAGATCTTCTAGGAGAAGAAGTAAAGGTTCTCCAAAGAAAATACGGCTCTGCCAGACAGAGCACACATATTTTATATGTCCTGAAGCTTATTTTACAGGTTCAATCCATCCACATTCAGCAGCTTTCTGCACATGTGTGATATTATTACGAGAAATCAACAAACCCACATGCCAGCAAAAAAGTATTCAGCAGATTTTTTGTCCATATTGTTGGCATGTTTAATAATTACTTTCTGTATCATATTTGTTATCATGTATTGATTTTTATGCTAATTTTTTAAAGCTATGGTCAGTTAATTATAATGCATTTCTGCGATTTCAATTTATTTGGAGGTTCTTTTAATTATGTTTAATAATTTTTAAATTTCAGTTAGTTAAACGTAATTATTTTTTTCATTTTAACTGTAAAGCGCTAAATATGGATTTGTATAAAATTCAGTATTTATTATGTGGTACATATTTTTTCTTTTTTAAACTGCATGTCTTTCATTATAGAACTGTACGTACGGACTGATTAAAACCATGCTTACAAAAATTTGATTCAATGAATTATTTATGAAATTTCTTCTCAAGTTTTGGTAATAGCTATTGATTTCATTCCCAAGATAAGCAGTTTGTCTCATGTTAATATATATAATAAAAGTATTGAATATTTTATGAAGCCAAAAGAATAAAATCAGTCACAGTGTCATTCTTTAAAAGGCTTTTAATATGTAATTTGGTATTTGTAGTTTAAGTGCAATGGTTTTGGACCTTGGTTAAACTTTCCTCTTGCGTTTAATAATGGGCATTTCAAATAACTGTATAAAAAAATTATGACTAGAGAAGAATAAAAACTTGCTATTTTTTAAGATGCTTAAAATCATTATGCATATAATTATGTATGATATTACCATTATGTATCATTAAGTATAAAAACTGCAGAATTATGAATAAATATGATTAACTTAAAATGCAATTTTCGTATATGCTTTTAATATTTAGTATTATGCTCATAGGAAAACAATTAAAAATCGCATTTATAATAATTGCGGATTAATAATAATATAATAATGAACTACAGTTAAATATATAATTTGTATATACAAAATATATTTAATTTTAGTTCATTTATTTGCCAAATTCATGTTAATAAACATTTTTAAAAAGTCAGTGTATTATTAACTCAATAAATTAAAATAAATACTACACACAGACTACAAATAAACTTTTGAAATGAGTTGTTGTGTGTCATACTTTCTTGTTTTAAGCATTTATATACTGAATTGCTTCTGATTTTTAAGTTTTAAAACCCAGAAATTATTGTATTAATAGTGTGTTTGTATTTGATATTTCACTGTTAACCATTTATTATTATTTATCATTGAAAGGTAGATGTCACATCATTTTTAAAATTTTGTTGCAGGATGGAAAGGTGGCTTAAAAAAGGTCTCTAAAGAGTTCTACTGCAGAATTTGATTCTTCAGTTTTGGACTTAATAACTAGGTGTTTTGCTAAAGATGGTGATGGTGATGACAGCTCTACAAATATATATTTACAAATCACAAATATACAAAAATTACAAATATATACAAGTAATCAAGCCAGAGCAGCTATTAAAAAACTCGGGATGTACAATGAAAGTTATATGTCTTTTAGGATTCATGAACAAAAATGATAATCCTCAGAGTGCAGCAAAGTTTTCCCAAACAGCACTATTGCTCCAGCTAAAATGCGTAAGTATTTGGAATCGGGTTATGAAAACTTTAAAAACAAAGCTGTTCAATTCTTTATTCAAAAAAGTGACAAACTCTTAAAATTAAAAAGTTTTATGACCCAAACCCCAAAAAGATAAATGAAAAAGCAACTAAGGCTTCATACTTAGCTATCAGCTCAACACAGTGAAACGTACTCATTTGCAGAAAATCTTATTAAATCTTCTACTATAAAGATCATAAGATGTATGTTAGATGACAGATCAGCAAAATAAATTGCCAAGATCGCACTTCCAAATGATATGGTAGCTCAGCACATCATAGATTTAGCAGAGAATATGAAGAATGAATTGTTAGATATCAGCACGAAAACATATTACTGGAAGATCTTCTGTTCTGTAAATCTCTACCAACATGTACTACTGAAGTGGAAATATTTCACTTCCTCAATTCTTTTCTTAAAGAGAACCAAATATCATGGGACTGCTATATTGATATGTGTACCTATGGAGCAAAGGCAATGTAATGTGTCTATAAAGTTCATTAAAAACATTGGCAAAAACTGTTCTAGTAGCCACTGCCTAATCCATAGACAGGCACTTGCTGAAAAAAATGTCTCCTAGTTATAAAATTGTTCTTGATGAGGTTGTAAAAATGATTAACTTTATAAAATCTTGACCACTAAATAATCTTTTATTGAAAATACTTTGTGAACAAATTTAGCTTACTGATAAATTATCATCTACCATCTTTAAATTTGATCGCTAATAATTGAGATGTGCTTTTCAAAGTACTGTAGATAATTATATCATGTTCTTGACCAGCTTGCCAGATTGATGTGCTATCCATTACATCACAAAAGCATCTACGAAAAATGTGCTAAATTTTTATATTCCCTTTCTTTTTAGCTAAAGATACCAGAGACAATACTTGCTGATGCCAACCAACCAGTCTTTGTGATGACTGTATAATTTGAAGAGACAGAAATGCAAATAAGAAAGTAAATTTTGAAGTAAGATGTAAATAAATATTTGAATAATTTAAAAAATCATTTTTATATGCTTTTTACCCTTATGTTCTTTTTATATAAAATTAAACTATATCTAACATACATTTCTCTACAAAAATCAAAAACAAATTAATTGCTTTTGTGTGCTTTTTAAAATTTATATTCGTTGATTTTTCCTTTTGTTAGACTAATGATGAATCTTGGTTTTAATGTGGTATTTGGGTAAAATGTAACTGAAGCATGCAATTGCAACTACATTGTAATTGCAAATAGAGTACTTCTTTGTTCTAGTGGTCCCCAAGATGGAATCACCAGTCAACCAAGATATCTTCCCAAAATCTGGCTGTATGTTTTTATATCTCGAAACATGATCATATATTAACATCGGCTGCACGTTCTTATACCTTTTCATGCAATCGTACATTAGCATCGTGTTGCACTTTTGCTCTCGCTGGCTGTTTTTATTATTATTCATTATTGACGAAATTTTCAAATTCGAAAAAAAATTATTTTAAATATATTTTTTTATTTAAAAATATATCCATTTTTGTGAATATTACTTTAAAAATCTTTAGTTTACCAAGTAATGAGGTGGATATTATAACATTTTTTCAAAAAAGAGGTATTTTACCTGAGGAACGAGGATGTGATAATGGCCAAGACATGAAAAACGATGAAACCGTTATGAGGTGCAATGTTAAAAGGTGCAAAAAGAAGAAAGCCTCCATATTGGAAATTGGTTCAGTGGTTCCAGGCTATCATTTGTCACAACTATTAGATAATGTATTCTTGGGCAGAGACATTGATGTCCATGAAATGATGTAACAAACAGCTTAATATGCATTAAAGTGCTGAAATTGGCTGCAGCAATTACAAGAAAGAAGTGTGTTTCCTACATCTGATGCACAGATTCAATGGCCGAATAGGAGGCGCCCATAAAATAGTTGAAATCAATGAAAGTTTGTTTGTTTAACATAAGAACAATAGAAGCAGAGTACTCACAAAACAGTAGATATTTGGAA